TGGTAAAAGGAAACAAGGCTATCAAAAAACATGGTGGTTAGATGCCATCAAAGCCAACACCAGTTACAGCAGAAAACAACTAAAAAAAACTCTACAAATTCAGAAAATGTGGAAAGAGTTGGTCCATAGAATCACTGATAATCAGATACGACTGAACAGATAGCATCATTATCATCATTATATAATCTATAAACATTCTTGACGATTATTTATGAAAATATATCTGTCTAGTTCTTGCCTCATCCACAACTTGTACGAGCTACAGGAAAAGCAATATACGGATAGTCATCAATTTATGACTGGTCGCTTAGCAACTGTCTGAAGTTATAGACCTACCTTGGGGCTACTTACAACACAGATTTAAAGTTCTAATGGGCACCCCACTCCTACAGTCACATGTTTAAACTTCAGATGCTTGGCAACATAATCATATTTATGGCCATTTGCAGCATCCTGCAGTCACATGATACTGAGCTTCTGACAAGGGCAAACTAACTGTGCCTGCCCCAACCTGAAGAAGCTTCTTGGATGAGAAACGAAATCTTCAAAGAAAAACCAGAAAGTCCAGTTGCCTCTTGAAAAAGGACCTTTGGGAAACCGTGACCTGGATAATTGAGAATCTCCATAGACATTTACAGTAACTATGCCTGCATTTACCATCTAATCTTATTCAGAAACCAGACACTTCCCTTTTTCAAAATTACAATTTAAAAGATATTTCCTACACCTATTTCTCTAAAACTTCTACCTTCACGATAGTTTATATTTCATTTTATTATTATAGTTAATAAAATGAAATGTCACGGGTAGCACAAACGCTTAGATATTACATGTCTATACAATTTACATTGACAAAAGTTATATGAATTTGCTTTCATATAACTTGGCTCTTTTGTGGTTTTTGCCCAGATTCTTGCATAATAAGTACTGGGAAGAAAACATAAGTTGCTAGCCATCCCAATGTTTTTCCAAGCACCACTTCAAGGCATGGTGGGCTGAAAAACATCATGTATTTGTCAGATAGCAAGGCTACCATAAACGTTTGGGGAAAGGCTGCCACAAACACTGAAAAGCAGAAATAAATATCAGTACTGTAGTTCAAAAATCCAAGCAGTACCTAATAATAAAGCTGATTTAAAAACAAGGAAATTGGCAACTGAGTAGGAATGTTGAACCTCAAGCAAAATACAGTCATTTTTTCCAACCCTTCTGACTGTTTTAACCACAAGAAATCATGTCTGGCAACAGAAAATGCTGGCACTTTCAATTTCAGCAATTTGCAAAAACAAAATGAAAAACCTTTAACCCAAGCCTTTGTCCTCTCATCAGCAAAATAAACATTCTCCATTATTATTGTATCAAGAATTATCTAATATTTAAGCAATCAAGCCTATAATAATGCATTTGAAGAACATGAAATTTCCAGAACCTCTTTTTTCTGCAGCATTTTTCATAGCCGCTATGGTCCTGCAAAACTTTGCAATGGCATCAACTACATTGTGGTTTGGTTATTTATGCCAGTTGAGAATTTAGGCCCAAGATTTGTAACTTGATCATCAGAAATTGGCTTTGTGTATCCACAAAATTGTTTCTTCACCAGCCCAGCCCAACACCGTCTTACCATTTTCTATGAGACAGAATAAAACTAAGTTTAAAAGTTTGCATACTACAATTTAGAAAAATCAAATTTAGAAAAAATAAATCTAGGTTCTCATTCAATTCATAATGTAATCAAGAACAGTGCAATATTTCAATTAAAATTGAATTGATTTACTCTAATTGGATCTGCCTTTGCTTCACTAGAAGATTATTCATGGTATATTTAATGTTGTAACAAAAACTACTCCTACAAATGTCTTACCTTGTTCCACCAGCCCAGAATTCTTCAAAAGAAATTCCTCCTATTATGGTTAATAAATGGAATTTACAGTGATATCATATTTCTAACTATTAAATATTGGAGGGGAACCTATTGCATGCACTTCTTATACTTGGGGCAGGAAGTAAATCTATTTTTGCAAAATTTTATTTCTCAATAGGTTTTATGTTGTTTTTGTATTATTGGGTCCTCTTCCCCCTCCCCACAAAATAATAGTTTCTTATGAAACAGTCCGCTCTTGGAAACCTAATGCATGCATTCTCTTTAATTAGCCAGATTATCCCCATTTCATCTAGATCAGAGGTGGAGAACTATGGCCCCTTTATGACTTACGGACTTCAACTCCCAGAATTCCTGAGCCAGCATGGTTCCCCATCCAGATCTAGATCAAAAATACAACATGCAAAGTTAAGAGATAAACTGAGAAAGAGGTTTCCCCAATCCATCAGTATTTCAAATATCCTATTGACCTTTGAATCTATCCATGCCTAAAGGAATAAATATTTTAAAGACTAGTGAGACATCTTTCTTAGAAACTAAACACACACACACACATGCACAAGCATCAAACAAAAGATAAAAACAGAACACAATAAGAATAGAAACCTGGCATCACAACCAATTCCCATCAATACAGCCAGCACTAGCATCTTCAGGTTCCAACTCATCCTGTTTGAGTAGTTGGGAGAAGAACCAGGTCTTTATAGCTTTCTAGAAGATCAAGCATGTGAGTGGCCACCAGATCATAAAGGGAAGAATGCCACAGAGCAAAGGTTGGTATAGAAAAAGCATGCTTCATAGGTCCCACTAGATGACCAAAATTGTGGAATGGGACCTGGCGCATAACTACTCTGTTTGAACTGGTGAAACAAGCAGATACCCTCAGGGAGTTTTTCAAATAACCTGGCACCATGCCATGTAGAGCTTTAAAGATGATAACCAGCAATGCTGCAATTCCAGTTGCTAACTTCAAGATGGTCTTCAAGGACAGCCCCATGGACAGCATGATGCAGTGGTCAGCCAAGTAGCCAAGAATTGAGTGACCATAAGCAAGACCTCCTGGTCCAGAAAAGGGGACAATTGGCAGATAAGAAGAATCTATGGAGACTATGCTAGCCGTGGCTGCCACCTGCTCCTTGATGAGTAATCGTGTGTAGGAGATCTCCCAAATTGTCCAACCCCTCAGTCCAGTATCATTTCCCACATCCAGAGTATAAAATGACACATCAGCAGGCCATGGAGAGTCAAAAACAGGCTTTTGCATCTTGCCAGGGTTGAGCCAGAGTCAATCCTTCCCCATCCAGACCTTCACAACTTCCAGGCACTGGGTCCACACTGCAACAATATCAACTGCCCAGCCCAGGGTGCAGATATATAACTGGATATTATCACCATATAGCACTGATTCAGTAATTATCTGCAGGGATAACATGTGGGCATTTCTGTGCTAATTGATGAGGTTAGAAATCAGAAATATTTTTAAAGCTGTTTGTCACAGAAGGATATTGGGGTTTTTTTTTAGCCTTTTCAAAGTGGTATATTCTGCAAATGGAGTAAGTAGCTACAGTTACCTATAACAGAAATGTGTCTCAGTGAACAGATCCTAAGCAAATCCCAAAGAAAGAGAAAACAATTTGATTTTTGAAGACATTCTTGGATTAGAAATACTAATACTAATTTGCTAATATTTTAAAAAATTCCTAGGCACCAGATCAAATTCTGTTTAAATTCTTCAAAGTAGCATCTTTTTAAACAAAGAAAAATAGAAAACAAAAGGCACTCATTGTAAACATGCAGTATTTGATATACAAACATTTATCTATTGAAAGAACAACAAAATATAAAGAAAGACCAGGAATGCTGAATGCATTTTACAGAACTATATAAATTATAGACTGGTCCAGTTCCTTTTTGTGAATAGCTACATCCCCGTGGCAGCCATTTTGTGAAAGTCATGCCCTTATGGCGGTTATTTTATGTTAGTGCCACTGAAACTTTTCCAGAATTTTCCATTTTTAATAAGTGGGATTAGGGTATAATTTTTCATGTTACAGTGACATTGATAAATATTACTTTTGGAATACAGCCAATTTATCTTTCTGGACTGAAGCATGGAAACAAAAATCCAGAAGGCAACAAGATGTCCTCCAGATGTTCTGGAATACAATTTTCAAACTCCAACTGACCAGAATGTCAGTCTTATGGAACTATTCTTCAAAACACACTTCAAAACACACAAAGGGAATCAGATTGCGTAAACCGCTTCAGTTACAATATTATCTTTTAGCTCTTAGGATGAAATTCTGCCAATATTAGGGCCATAGCAGAGCTGGTGAATAACAAGAACTAGTAATGCCAGCTGTTCTAGATTTAACTGAAAATAAGAATGTTCAGGAACAAGAAGTTAGGAAGCAGAAGAATTCAACAAGCTGGTCATTTACAGAGAAATAATTATTTAGTTAAAGTTGCATTGATCCCTCCCATTACAAATATGACCACTCTGGTCAACAGATAGAATTAGATGTACATAATGAAACAAGAAGGATTTAAGTCAGTATTTTCAAACTTCCCAGCTTTAAGATGTGTGGATTTCAACTCCCAGAATTCCCCCGCAAGCACGCTGGAAAACTCTGACTTTAAATTAACAGGCATTTTTCCAAAGGAGTCCGAGGCGACCAAACCAAACCCAGAGGAAAATGCTTTGTAGCAGCAGAGCGGTTCCTACGAAGTTAGCCGAGAGGGCTTCAGTCCTCTCCCCGAGTACTCTTTGAAGCGGGCTTTGCTGGGCTGGTCCGGCGGTCCTTCAGCATGAACCTGGCCGCCGTAGTTTCTGGACCTGGAGCGTATTTCATCAAGACGCCACCAAACCCCCTTCCCAAGGCTATCGGGCTCCGGGGATGTTAGCGCACGATACAGATGAAAAGGGGAAATACAATCTTGGGGTCAAAGCACAAGAAACAAGGTTTTCCCTGATTTTCAACAAAACTGCCCCCCTCCCACCTCGAAGGAGAGACACTAACCCCGCCCTCGAGTTTGCCCAGTTAGTTGCCTCTTTCTCTCCCCGTTCAGCTCGCCCATATAGACAGACGCACAAACGGGGCATCCTGCGTCCCCTTCTTACCGGCCTGAGTGTTGAACCCTCTGAGCTCAGCAAATTGGGTGCCGGACGGAAAAGGGGAGAGAGCTGCTGCCGGCGAAAAAGCGAAGGCAAAGGAAGAGGAGGGAGAAATCAGAGGCTGCCTCTTTCACTTCCTCACCATCTGGCCCGGACCCAAACTCCGACAACCCTCCGGCACCACAAGGGGTCCCGCGCCCGCCGACCTCCCCTCCGGCCAACCTGCCTTCGCCTCCTCCCCGCGCTTCGCAACTGACGGTCGAGCTTCGCTGCTCCCCGGCAAAGGCGAGCCGAGCGCGTTCCGCTAACTCCCGCGGGGCATCTTTAATCGACGTGGAGGGAGGCCAGGCTGGGCGAAGAGGAGGGTACCAGCTAAACCCCGCCTGGCGTGTTTGGGTCTCCATTCCCTGCGCAGGCGCCATAACTTTCAGCCGCGTGGAAAGGATAACAAGCCTTGGGATAAGCAAGCAGAGTGAGAGTCAATCTCTTGGGAGGGGGAGGGGTGTTGGCAAACAAAGCACCCTGGACCAAATCATACAGCGGAGCGTTCAGGATTGCTCAAAACAGGAGAGGGAGATGCGGTCTGTTGGTGTAGAAAGGTAGCATCTCAAAGGGAGAACGTTCAGCCTTGCTTTTCATCAAATGAGCAAGGAATGCAGAGTTAAGATGCATTCTTAAATCCAAACACCAGCCCTGTATCTTCCTTTTTCGAGATTTTAATGATCAGAAAGCCCCATTTAACTCAAATGACCTTTATTTCCAGACGAGTAGGCATAAGAGTGCAGTCCAAATTATTTATTGAAACTGATAAAACAGTTGGACAACTAATTTAGTCTGTTGCACTGGCAATCTTGAAAACTCAGTGAGGTCTTAGCTATGTTGTGTCCTTTAAAAGAACCATAATTTATTTTAAAGAACTATATGCACATAACTCTTACAAAGCCTCGGGCTCCCAATACTGAAAAATTTGCTTGGGAATACCACAACAGTAAAACAAAGTTGGGGGAGGGGGAAAAAGAAACAAAGTAGCAACATTGCCTATCTGACTGACATTTTCTCCCTTTTTTATTTTACAGTAAACTACCACTTTCCTTGATAAGGACACCAGTTAAACTTCAAAGGTTAATTGCCAGATCAGAGTGGTGGCCAGTTATAAGTCTTAACAATTTAGCTGCTTCTTACAAGGAGACCAAGTTTACAGGGTTTTTCCCCTTCCATTTAATGATTTCTCCAGCTTCCAACTTTATTCCAGAAAGCGGGACATTCATTGGGATCATCAACACACACACACACACACACCCTTTCCTCATAATGGAATTTCCATCTCACTGCTAGCATTCCCATTCCACCCGGCTGAGCCAGGCTGAAGCCAATCCAATCCAAGGTGTTCTGGCATGAAGTGAGTATGTTCATTGAAAAATGCAAACCAATCTATGATGCACGGAGGAAGAGGAGGTTTGAGGTAAAATAGAGGTAGGTGAAGATCTACTTGATCACAACTGGCCTGAGAGAGCTGCTAAGGAACTGCTTCCTTCCATCTGAGCCCTGTGTTCAGTGCCTGTTTTGCAATGTTTACCCTTTAGGCAAACTAGGAACCCAGTTTCCATAGGCACTTTTCTATCACTGGATGTAACCAGTGCAGATCTGGCTTAAGTATGCAGTCTTTTTTCCTCTTCTATCCTTTTGGTTGACAGAGCTATAGTGTTATGCTTTAATTTGCATCTTTTGATTTGGCACTTAATATACTTTGATTTGACACAAGAATTAGTGACATTATTTTTAGACCTCTCAGCGATTCATAACTTATCTAGTGGTGGCATCTCGGTTGTAAAATCTGGATCACCAGTAGATGGCAGCATAAGAGACTCTTTCATCTAAATTTGCTGACTAGTTGATAGATGAGTCATTGTTTTGGAAAACTATGTGGATGTACTTCACAGTTGAATGCATCTCTCACACACCAAACTCCTAATCTGAACTCTTGACATCTATACAATGGCAGCATCTGCTGCACAAATCCAAGTGCGTCCTATATTGCAGTTAAGAGATGAACTTTTTGCTACCATCTAATGATAATTATCATAGCCTATTAGCCAGGATTTTGAGACGATTGATTCATTCAGTTTAATTGGTTTGTTCTTGGGAATTTTAGGCACCACTTTTTCTTTTTGTGCCTTTAAAATCTGGGGTTCTCCTGAATTAATGTATTGCTACCCTAACTATATAATAGCTCTGCCCCCCTGTAGAGCAATTGAGATTGCTATTGCATGTATACCATTTACATTTTGGTTATCTGAACTTAACAGTATATCCTTTAAATCCATTTAAATAATTGATATGACCATATTTCAACAAAAGTAAACCTTTTTCCTATCTCTGTGTTAAGGAAAACCAGTACAGTGCACTATTGTCTCATATTAAATTAGACAGGACAACAGATTAGAAAAAACAATTATCTGCTAACTAAAGTCCTAGAAAACTATCATTAACATTTAGTCATTTTCAGTTTTTAGTTTTTTTCATCCCAATACAGTAACACATTACAAAAAATAATTTTTAAAATGTGTTCTTATCCCAACAGTTTAAGAATACTCCACTGTCTTGTAAACATATTTCGGTTAATTAATTTAGTCCTTAAATGTTGCAAAAATAATTTAACTGAATCCCTATACTAGTGACCAAGAATTCCTTTCATATGCAGACACAGTGGCTCTTCCGTTCTCATTTGCAATCTCAAATTCCAAGCTGAGATAGAAGCAAAATGGATTTCTACCAAATGGTGAGGAATTCTCAGTTTCTGCTTCTTTGTCCAGATAAGAAAAGCAGACACTTTTGAGCCATTGCAGGACACTCAAAATGACAAGAGAGATTCAGCATTGTGAAAGAAACATTGTACTTTAAAATATGTAAGGTTCATATTTTCTTCCTGAATAAGTAAATGGAGAACATGGGTGCTGCTCCAGTGAACTTAATTTTTTATCTTAATTCTTAACAGCACAATAGGTTTAAGCACATTAATAGTGGCTTAAGTAACTTCAGGACTTGATACAGTAATAGGTTTATTGGACGGTGCTAAGAGTTATGGGATATACTGTATTTTTCAGAGTATAAGACTCACCAGGGTATAAGACGCAGCTTAGTTTTGGGGGAGGGGAATCTGCCTACTAGGTATTCATCTGGCTAGCATCCTTAGTCTGGTCAGCTTCAGCACATTAGTTTGCTGTTTTTTATCTCTTGCTTAGGGATAAAAAACAGCTTCTAAAGCACAACCTATCTTTGGAGAGAGAAGCAATGAGAAAAGCAAACCACAGAGATCGCTTCACTCGCCTTCACTCGCTAGCGCCTCTGTTAGGGCTGAAAAAAAACTTCACAGCTGAGAGTCAGAGGGAGCAGGCAAAGCATGGAAAATCGCTTCATTGAAAAAAAGCTTAACACAGAGATCGCTTCACTCGCTAGCCTCGTCAGCGTGTTAGTTTTTCAAAAAAGCTACATTCAGAGTATAAGATGCACCCAAATTTTCAGCCTCTTTTAGGAGAGAAAAAACTGTGTCTTATACTCTGAAAAATATGGTATATATGATATTGTGTGAATGAACGTTAAATGGTTTCAATAGTGTTTCATACAGTGGTGGGTTTCTACCGGTTCTGGCGAACCAGTAGTGGCGGCGGGGGAGGCTCCACCCACCCACCTGGATGTCATCACGGACACTCTGCGCATGCGCAGAAGGTTCTGCACATGCACAGAAGTGCTGCGCGCAAAGTGAGCGTGCACATGTGCATGTGCGCGCGCTCCCGATTCCAAACCAGTAGCGAAGCTAAGTGGAACCCACTACTGTTCATACAGATATTAAATGTATGGGGAAAATAGGCAAGATCTGTGGTACCCCACAAAGAAGGGATTGATGGGTCTCTACACCTGTTTATCTGTCCCATGCTATGAACTAGAACTGCCCATTCAGGAAAGAGCAGAGTATAAAATAGTACCCATCCTCTCAAAGTGCTTAAGGATACTAGACTCAGTCATATTGACTGCTGCTGATAGCAAGTAGGATGAGGAGGGCCTCCCTCCCTCCATTTAGTTCCCAAGAAAGAATATCCACTGTAATGACTACAGTAATGTTATTTTGGTTACATATCTAATCTGAACCAATACTGGAACACATTCAGATCATCTGCTCTATTACACATCTTCTCTGCAATTGTCACCCCACTTTTTCAACGATTTCTCCCCCAAAGATACTTCTTCAGGAGCAGGTGTACCTCTACCTCCTCCAAGATGGCAGATACCATCTCTTTATCCAAAGAAGCATTAGCCATCTGTTGAATCCAAATGCAGACATATAGTTGCTCAAAAGAGCCAGGTGGGACATGGATCTAGCTCTCAGGTGGCAGAGTTCTTGATGCAAGGATCTTACCACTTCTTGAGAATTCACAAGACCAAACAAATCGCAGATATCCATGCAAGACCTTCTCCAAGTCTCTTCATAGAATTATGTTCAGGAGCAGTCTAGACCTGACTGAATATAACTTTTATTGACAAAATATACAGCAAATATGCTCTGTGGGCTGCAGGAAGGTTTTTCTTCTTCTGTCCTTCATTAATAGAGTCATCTTAAACATAACACAATTTTGTCACTGAAATAAGCCCAGACAAGTAACAGCATTTTGCCACACTAAATCTGGATTGATACCTGTACTCTTCATATTCTAATTCCTTGTCTTACTTCACTGTGACTTCAGGCATCACTTCTGCTACTTGATCTCTCTGGATTCCTTGGTAAATTCAGAAATTTGATATGATCAACAGGCAATGAGATCAGTTGATGCCTTTATCTCTGAATTTCAAGGTTGAACAAAGCATATGGAAGACTTTCTGCCAAACTCATTGGAAAATCCTCAAACAACCAACCAGATCCCTATTAGGCACCTCAGGAAGACCTTGGCTCCATCATTTGGAGAATTCACAGGTCTCACTAAGCCATAGGTTGACCAGGAAGTGATCTGGATGAAAAATGACTGAAAGACAATGTCCTACACTTTCAGATCTGCTTTCTGTTGCCAATCAGTACAATAGACAACCATTTTGTTTTAAAAGCATTCAAGGGCTTTTACTTTTGAAGAGCAAAACCTATCCTTGAAGAGCCAGTGTGGTATGGTGATTAAGATGTGGACTAGAAACTAGGAGACTGAATTCTAGTCCCACCTTATGCATGAAAGCCTGCTGGGTGACTTTCGGCCAGTCGCTTTCACTTACTCCAACCCACTTCATGGGGTGGTTGTTGTGGAGAAAACAGGACTGGGTATTATGTATTAAGGTGGGATAAAAATCAAATGAATAAATACATTTTCACCTCTTAGCATCCCCCCCAAATTTTCTCCCCCAAATCTTAAAAAAACAAAGTTGCTATTCCAGAAAGTTTTATAGGGTGCTTGTGGTCCACAAACTTGACTTGTGGCCTCATAAGATCGGTGACTCAGCTATTGTAGAAAATGAGAGATAAAACAAGCTATGGCTCACCATGATAAATAATCAGCCAGTGGGAAGGTTAACTGAACTCTGATCACTGTGACTGTACTATCCTGACCAATAATGCTCCCAGAAACTAACTGAAGCAGATGATTCACACTAATACGGCTATGTTTGTGTTTAGCCACAAAACTAGACATAAAAGTGCATCCTGGCTTTAAAAATCTACTTTTTCTAGGACATGAGCAAATAAGAGGATTGTCTCCCTGCATAAATATGCATAAAAAAGGATTAAGCAAATATATGCTACAATATGAGAAGGGCTAACAATATTCCTGCTTTGTGACTGATTTGAATATAAATTTAATTATGGGGTTGTTTATGCTAGTTTTACTTAACCTATTTTATATCATTCTAAATGAATTCAGAAAGGCAAAAATCAAGAAAGAAATCAACAAAGTAGCAATAGACATGCCCCCCAAAAGACCTTTGGAGGTATGCACTAAAATGTTTCAGACTTTACATTTTTCATGAATTCTTCCACTGTGTTGTACTAAAATATTTGATTACAATTCTGAACCAAAGCTTCCCATGTTCAATTCCTATATAGAAATGAACAAAAAATAAAACAAGTCAGCTGGCAATAAATAAAGTAGTTCCCAAACTGCAGATGCGGATATCGTATGCCTTAATGTAGGACAAAAGATATTAAATAGGTAAAGATAGGTGAAAACAGAGAAAGGGCCAATTTAGAAATTGCTGCAATGTGTCCTTTTGCCCTTCAAAACCACAGTGCATATGTGGTTCATTGTATTAAAAAAAAACCTGCAAATGTAAATCAGCATACTGTATATGTAAAATTGCATGCAGTTTTCTCTCTATACACAAGCTTTCCATTAATCTTCCTCTACCAGATGTTTTCTTTTTACCCAGCCCCCTTTAACAGCTGCCTTACTATCTTAAAGGCTGAGAAAGAGATAACAAAAGGATTTCAGGAATCAGCAATATAATATGAAAATAGCCAAGGTCAAATCAGCCAGTCATTTTAAAATCTATTCTCTCTTAGTTTATATTTCAATCTAAATATGGATTTTCTAGACAGTTTGCGGTGATTCAAGGGTAATTCCCCCTTTACAAGTATCAGTTTAACATTTGTTTTTTGGGGGATAAGCATTATTTTCTCCAATGCATAAAATCCTCCCGTGTTTCCATTAGTCAAGATTTTTAATATTTGTTCCAGACACTGTAGTACAGATATATTCTTAAAAAAACATAAAACATGACATATAAACTTACTCAAGACAGTGTTCAATATTACATCAATTGTGAAATTGTGGACCACTACCACCCTTCAAAAAACTTCTAAAGGGAATATTTAACTGGCAGTGTATTTATTCTACATTCATAAAGCACATTGACGTAGTTAATACAGTGGAGTAACCTGATGGTAGAACAGCTATCTCTTATAGGTTAGTAGAATTAATACAGTAGTGAATGTTTCTGTGAATTCCTGGTTTGAGTGAACCCTTGCAAAAAAAAAAAAAGTGAATAGAAATATCAGTATATTTAGATGACAATTTCAAATTCCAGAGAGCAATCAAGCAAGGATTGATTCAGCCTCTAATAGGGCCAGATAAGACTTTTAGAAGTCTGCTAGAATATGAAAACAAATATCTCTATGAAAGAAGTAGTATGAATCTCAAGATTCAAGCCACTATTCTCAAGAAGACTTGAACAGGATAGGGAAAATAACAAACTACGATGTAGAAATGTAGGCAGAGATGCAAACAAATCCCCAAATCTCTGCACTGCATCTCTTAGGGTGTATTCTTGGTTCATCAAATTCCACAGCAGTCCTTCTGTACACAGCTTTACTAATTCAGTAACTTATTATATCTTATCTTATATACCAGCCTTTATCTGATGACCTTTTCAGTGTTTTTCCTCTCTGCATCTTATTCCAGCTGGCAAGAGTGATTTCTTAGTAATCGTTTTTGTGTGAAAAATAAGTAAGACAAACAAAAATAAGAGAAAGGTCCATCACAATTTTACATTAACTCCTTCTCTGGCCCTCTTTCTCTCCTTCATTTCAAAAGACAACTATTGTACATGTTCAATTGTTCATTACAATTAATAGGAATTTGTATTAGTCACATTGTATTGAATGTTTCAGTATAAGCATTTTTGAGGCTGCCTCTCTTAGAAAATCTAAAGTTGTTATAAGACATACTATAATAATTGTACAGTTGGACAATGCCAAAAAAGTCTTGATGTATCCGGTTTTGTTGGTTATTTCTTGTAGACAAGAATGGATGAGCAGGAGTGGAAGAAAAGACAACTACTGCATTGATGCCCAATCTGTTCATCTAGTATGCATCAAAACATACACAATTGAAGAAGTTTGGAGATGGAAATTAAAACTTATCCGAAGTGTAGGATAAAAAATTATGGTTAAGTTCTATACATGCTATCCATACAGTATTCATTTTCCAGCCTGTGTTTCTGATCACACCAAGTTCAGTTTAGATTTTGCTGGCTAACAAAGCCAGTGTGGTTTCAATTTTATGGATAACATCAAAGCCTAAACTGAATTACAGCCATATCCAGGCAACAGGTGATTTGCCTGGATCCAGACAACTGAAATCCAGTCCCAGCATCGGTGTTTTCTCTGCAGCAGCATAATTGTAAAAACAGCTAGCCAACCAATACTATCGGCTTTTGTTCTTCTTGGAATTTCCCTAGATCAAGGAAAAAACACATATGATAATTAAAAAATGACAGAATGCTGCTGTATAACTGCATTGGATTCTGTACTTCCAGCTCAATTTTTTAGATGGCAACAATTATTCATGGCTTCTTTTAAAGTTTTTAAATAATTTTTAAAATTAATTTTACCAAGAAACTGGCCTTAGGGGAAAAATTCACCACTTACAAAAACCACAGGTTTTAAATTTTAGTTACAAGCCAGATTTTGGAACTTGGGAATGCAGCAAGGAAGTACCAGATACCATACATGAAGAAGACTGCTGAGAAGACAATTGATATGTCAGCTAGATTGGATTCATACTACAAATTTGCTAGTACATCTTCCCGCTAGTCAAATGGTGATTTTTTAAAAAAACTCACTTTAATAAATTGTTGCAATTTTATTTCAAAAACTGTTTAGCACAAAGTGTATTATAAACAAACATATAAATAAATATAAAGGTTTATTATTTAACAGTTTTCAGAAATGAAGCTTTGATCACAAGACACTCTGGCTACCTGGAAAAAAGGGAAGTCTTTTCATTAGTGAGAAATAAAATTATGGTTTGGGAACTAAATTACTTACTTTCCTCAAGAATTTCACAGTACTGATTTCTAACAAATCAATGTATGGTTGCTGGCTTGATTTCATGTCATACTTAGTTTGAATTCATATGAATCTTGATGTAAGATTTAAAGTGGTATAATGCTATGTAAATTGTCAGGAAGCATTCTGTTATGAAGGCCTTTAAATAAAAGTAGTAAGTAACCAGTAATTTTAAAATTAGAAGGCAGACATTTTATTCAGCCCTGAAGAGTTATACTTAGCCTTCCCATAACAGAACCATTAACAGAATTGTTAACAGTTCAAGGTTTAAGATAGAGACTTTGTTATCAGAATTCCTTCTAAATGGAGAGATCAAGGAGTGAGCCTAAAATCATCTAACTGTGCTATGACTCACAATTTCAAAGCTCAATAAAGTCTTTGTCCACTCATTCAAAATAGTCCCTTTCTCTATTTCTCTTATTTCAGTGCTTTGCACTTGCTATTCCTAGGTATAAGTCAATTTCTTCACTTATTCGTCTTCTCAAAAACATGTATCTTTAAACTTTTCTTCATCTCATCTTAATTTAGTGGCTTGTTTTGTGTTATCCATCCTGTTACCCTTTATTCCAAAAATGGTATCTCTTTCCTGATCAATCTAAACACAACGTAGAATATATTCCTTCTGAATGAAACTTGTACCTTGGACACCTTGGACATAATAAACATTAAACCACAGACAATCTTTATTGTCAAATCAAAACTCTCAAGCTTATATTGCATAATTCACAAACCAGAATCTATAGTGTACTCACCTGTGTATCTTCCTTGTGAGGCCTAAGGCATTTCCACATATCATTAAGTTAAACACCCAGAAATGTGCAGAACAATACAACACTCCAACAAATTGCACAAGAAACCAAATATCACTGGCATTGAGATTACTTACTTTGTTAGCCAGTTTTAATGTATCTATCTCTTCCCGTTGTTTGGTTAAGGTTTCATTCATACTGCAAAGGTGGTCACTCATCATGCTTAACTGATCTTCGTAGCTTCTCTTGGTTGTTGCCAGTTCATCCTAAAAATCCAGAGAAGGACAGCTTTAGGTTCTGTCCAACATTACAAAACAATGACATATTGCTGCAATCAATAAGTAGCCCATAAAAAAGGAGACACGCAGAGAAAAAAACCCAGCTTCATATTCTAATGCTTATTGTGATTTTGCATTTCCTTTAAGATGTTGATCAATTCCTGTTTTAAACAATTACATTGGAATTACACTTATTACTAGGGGGGTAATAAATGGCATTGAAGACCAACCACTTTACAACTGGAACTCAAATAATTTTTTTTACCGGAAGAACACATAATACAACAGGCTTGGAAAAGAGACTAACACCATCACTTTATCCTGCAAACCTCCCCCACCCCACCCCCAGTGATGAGAAATTAAGTGCGACGAAGCATAGTTAAAAAAATCCAACCAACAGAACTGGATCGTCCATTAGAGCTGGGCAGCTATTATAAATTCCGATAAAATAATTAAACTTTCACCAATTGGACAATGCTAAAAACCATAATTAAAACTGCAAAACAATTTTTTAAAAACAGGTTACACCACCATTACCCCAAGTTTAAAAAAAAACTTGCCTGTAACTTGCTGATATTAAGTCTTGTTGATTTCATTTTTTCCAATGATGATTCTTTTGCGTTCTCTGCTAGAGTAAGCCGTTTTACAAGTGCTCGGCACTATTAAAAAAACAACCCACAGTAAGTTAAGTTTCCAACAACTGTAGCTACAGCATATACATATGCCCCAGAAATGATGAGTACTTAATCTTCTAATAATGCCTCTTATTCTTTCTCTGATTTTTCAGTTATGTTAATGTTCATGTTGATAGTCCATCTGATCCTACTGCCTCCTGTCAAACTTCCTCAATTGGACACAGCCCAATACTCTTCTGCCCCCAGCCAGGCCCACTACTTTAGGTTCCCTTTTGTCTCTTCATATTTTTGTTATAATTCAATAGCAAAAAGTTTTTATTTATGCTGTTAGTCCTCGACTTGTGACAATTGACCCCAAAATTTCTGTTGCTAAGCAAGACATTGGTTAAGTGAATTTTGCCCATTTTATGACCTTTCTTTCTTAACAGTGGTTAAGTGGATCATTGCAGTTGTTAAGTTAGTAACATGATTGTTAAGTGAATCTGGTTTCCCCATTAACTTTGTTTGTCAGGAGGTCACAAAAGGGGGTCACATGACCCTGGGACACTGCAACCATCATAAACCTGAATCAATTGCCAAGCACCCAAATTTTTATAACATGATCATGGGGATGCTACAACAGTCATAAGTTAAATGGTTATAAATCACTTTTTTCAGTGTTCTTGTAACTTTGAACAGTCACTAAACAAAGAGTTGTAAATCAACGACTATTTTTTTTAGCAATTCTTTATATCACCAATTTGCTGAATATCTTACGTTTACATCCTTTTCCTTCTGTAACCTCAGCCTATCAAACAACTGATTTTCTTGAAAAAGGTTTTTTTTTTCTGTTTGCACCTTCAGTTTTTCCTTATTATCAGCTTTTGACACATTTGCTGCTTTTCCTCAATGAATTCCTGGCTTCCTGCCCTAATTTTGGATTGTTTTTCAGTCATTTCCTCATACAGCTGAACACCGCGTTGGAATAGAAGAAGGAGTTGTGCAACTTCATTCATGGTAAGTTCATTCTTTGCTCTTTTCTTGTACCATCAGTCTGTGTAAACAATGCCAGTTCTTTCCCAGTCAACCCTAAAAATGACAAGTGTTTTGATACCCTGCTTTCCATTCTGCTGAAGAATTTGCCTCTAAAGCCAAAAGTGAATCCACCTTTACACTTTTTTGTTTTCTCTCTTTAGATATCAACTACCACTATTATCTTGATCAAATCACTCCAAATACTTCTTTGATCTTGCCACTTTTTATTATCTATATGTTCAGTATTATCCTTTACCCTCACCAGCCTTTTCTGTTCAGCACTCAGACACAGCCCTCTTTCGCCTGTTTTCAAAAACAATGTATCACACCGTTTCTTCCTTTACATCATTATAACATTCAACCTTTTCTTACTGTCTATTTTATTATTTTTGTATTTATTTATTTATAAGATTTGTATGGCCACCCATGTTAGAACACAGGTCTGGGCAGCTCACCACAATATTAAAAATACAAAACCATAAAACAGAAACTAAGTTCCTGTTCCATTCTCTGGACCATGTCTGGATTATCCAGGCCTGGATTATCTCTCATCTGCTTTTTTCTCTCCATCATGTACCTGTTGTACTTGTTTTAGCTTCATCACATTCACATGCATACATCACTTCAATGATAATTACTTATCTGTCTCATCATTTTGAGACATCTTGACATTTTTTTATTGGTTTTCTAACTATTCCTAATTCCTGACTTCAAAATGGAAGTCATCTACAACATACTGTTTAAGGACTATAACAGCCACTATATAATAGCCAATAGGCAGAAGACTAGCAGAGTCCATCCATAAAGACCAACTAGCAATCAGAAGACATGATGAAAACTCCTTAATTTCACAGCACATGGACAGACTCAATCAGAGTTTCAACTGGGAACCTGTAAGCATCCTAGATCAAGCCAAGTTCAAAAATGCCAAAGAATTCCTGGAGTCCAGGCACTTAGACAAATCGGCTATCAACAGGCACATAGAGATAAACAACATCTACATACCATTCAAGAGAGACAATCAAAAAGCCCAAAAGGAAATAAAAAGATCAAAACACATCCTCACCAGCAATCAATACCCAGATGAACAGAGATTAACTCCCCTTTTTATGATCCTATAGTCCCTATGTGGGGTAGAAATAGGACAACTGGATGGAGCTGAGCATTTACTGGCCAGATGTCCATCCTGATGCCTATACAGAGTTTGCAGCAGATATTTTTTTTCTTTTTGCCCCAGGAGAGAAACATCTGCTGCTACCTAGGATTGAATTCTCAGCCCTCTGAGTGGGAGACCAGCATCTTCACCACTTGGCCACCACATTGCCCATATTAACACCAAGATTAACACTAGACCAAAAGCAAGTAAACAATACCCCAATCAAGGAACTATCAGCACAGGAAACAAGCATGGTAAGCAACAACTAATCAAGGAACCACAAAGAAAGAACACTCCCACCAATGGTGACAGGGTATAACCCCACTCCTTTCTAACACTGATTATGTTAACTAGTTTGGTAATGAAACATCCTGAAGAAAACCGCCAAGCTCAGAGAGCACCAAGGACCCCACAATGACTTCACCTTGTAAGAGCTTCATGGTCTTCCCTCTCAACTATATTTATAGCCCAATATGTTTCTTCATATGACTCTACAGCTCCATTCTTTCAAACATCTAAAATACTTTCTTTTACTTGCTTTTGCTGCTGTTGATAGTTGGAATGCCTATGTAGCAACTTCCCTTTTTTATGTCCTGAAAATCCATCTTTTCTAGGTAATCTTTTACTTGTCATCCTTGTCCTAATATTCTTTATAGGTAAAGCAAATTATAGCACAATCACATCTTATTCTCCTACTTACCAGAAATAAATGGCAAGAAATTAGCCAATGAAAAGACCTCTATAAGAAATAGAACATTTATTGTAACACTAAAGTCTGATTTTCAGAGTAAGCAATTTATTGCTCATTTACCTCCGCGTGAAAATGTACAGACTTGCTATCAGCAAGCTGCAGCTGAGATGTAAGATCTATTATTCTTGCCATATAGTGGTTCTTTATCAAATCTTCCCTGGTATCAGCTTCTGGAATCTTCCAAGCAAGTATGTTGGGAAAAATGTAAATGTTTATTCAAGTATGAAAAACATCACAAATCAAACATGTCTTCTATTGCATTGGATGCCCATGAAAGCCATAATTCAAACAAACAAATTGTGGAGTTGAAAAAGTGCAAACAAAATTATGAAGCGATGGCAACAGCTCATTTATGAGGAAAGTTTTTCAGGGCTAAAAAAGGCAAGGTTGAATGAGAAGAGCACTCAGTGAGTTTTATAAAATACGTAATATACAGAAAGTAGAACCTCAAATTAACTGACTGGTGAAAGAAAAATAAAGCATTTCTTCACATTGCACATAGTTAAAATATGGAATTTACTTTCTCGTATCTTTAAAGTTAAAATATGGAATTTACTTTCTCGTATCTTTAAAGTTAGATAACAATCGAACCAGAAATGGTTGCAGAAATAATATTAGTAAAACTAGAGCAACAACAACAACAACTGCCATTCAACTACATTGAACTGTTTTCATAATCATAATGGCCCAAATAATTTGCATTATTTGATATTTAAATATAATATTATATAATATTAATGCGGTACCTCTTCATTTCCAGTGGTCACTGTTAGCATTCCAATCTTTAAAATAAATCAGGACAAGGTTAATTCAAAGTAGTAATTTATTGTTTTAAAATCATTTATACACAGTAGAATTTATTCTTTCTTACTTCAGTAGAATCTTAACTAGAATATGTTCTAAATTTTAAAAGCATAACTGTGCTTAGTTTTCATCAATTTTGAAGGACATATTGGATATACAATATGCCTAATTCCGTCCCACTAGAATCAATGGGGCTCAATGAGGTTATGAAACATTACAACCTGAGGTGCATGAATTGTTTTCCTTAATACTATGCGTTAAAAACATTAAATCAGAATTGCAAATGTATTATCACCTAACAAATGCTACAAAAAAGAAACTCCGAAATACTAATTGACATAATGCATCAGGTTACCAAGTGTCCAATATATACAATTAAATAATCTCTCATTATTTATCACAGGAATGTTAAGCTGCATAAAATTTGTTTAAGATAAAGATGGATTGGCAGAAACGAAATCTGAACTGATGATAGGGCATTCTACTTCTATCAGAAAAATATGGGCACACTGCCATACTATCCACTGAACTATTTACATTGGTTAGCTATTCTTCCTTAGTGCTCTTGCTCCTCTCCTGGTCTTCAACATTCTTCAGATTGTGCACCCAAACTCTTTAGAAGTACAAACATGCCTAATCTAATTCAGGAACTGCTCTTCACTAAAAACAGCCATCCTCAACAATCTTGTTACCTATTCCATTTCAGTTACCAAACATTTTCCAATACTACTGTAATCCAATTCTCCCCCTAGACTTTTGTCTGATCCTTTTTAAAAAGTCCTTGTGGCATCCAAATGCAACTATTGTGTTAATTCCCCCAAAGTGCTAATTAATAAATCCATTGTTTCATGATAAACATCCATGAAAAAAATACAATATTTCACCACCTCAGTGGCATGTAATACACTTACCAAACTTGTACTCTGAACTGGCTCTCTCAGTGTTTTTTCTGCACCATCATCCTTCTCTTGTTCCACTGCATTTAACACAAAGGAATTTTCTGTGGTTGCTTCAATCAGCTGGTTGCCTAAAGAAGTTCTGGCCTTTTCAGATACTTTTTTATTCTCTTTCTCTAACTTAATTTTGGCTAGCTGGGCCTCCAGCATCCAATGCTCTTTTTCTTGTTCCAATTTTGCAATTTTTTCCAAACTCTGCTGGACCTGGGAATAAGGAAAATTATCACCATGAAGCAAACTGATGCCTATTTAAGCTATAGTAAAAAAGAAAAGAAAAGAAAAAGCTGCAGTGGACTGTTTGAAAAATAATTCACACGGAACTGTGACTTGCAAAAGGAGGTACCAACAGCTTCAATATACTGTCATGTGGTCTGCACATGTCCAAGTGGTTTGCACTGAGAAGTAGCTAGCAATCATAACCTCAAGAATAAAGAACAAGGTTTTGATTCCAGTACTGTGTGTCTTTCTATTCCCTCCTTAAAGGGAAAGATATAGAAAACATTTTAGATAAATCACAGGCAGTCATTGACAAGACAGCCAGATTTTTATGAAGCTGTAATGTTTCCTTAATTTTAAAATGTAAGCATATGATAGTAACAAGTTGCACAGCTGTGTACGCAAGCTACAGCGATTCAGCTGCAGAAGAAACAGATGCTTGTAATAGCTGATTAGATAACATTTTATAAATCACAACCAAAAAGACATTGTTTTTAAAACCTTAAACAGTATGATTTAATTAAGATACGAGTACATTAGTGTGATCTCTTTCCCCAAACTGTAACAAGTTTTGGTTAGTGGATTGTTCGCTCTAGATAATGTTTTGCAGCTGGGAAAAAGAGAGTGTGAAGTTATTCTCCAAAAGCCCCAACAGGAAGTACATTTTGAACTGTAAATTCCCATCTGTTTACTAATTTCCTTTTTTAATAAATCAATCCTTCTGATTACTGCAAACTGAATTATTTGAAAACTAGAGCAGGATTTCAGAAATAATGTTAAGTCTTTTAATTGCTGTTTACAAATGAACTCAACACTTTTTATTTTGAAACGAATTTAACAGGCGGGCTGTACATCATATACATAACAGTGCTATGAACTACTAGTACCCATTCATACTACAGCCTGATTTCAGTTACCCAAATACCCCAAAGAAGGAAGGTGTCTGTCTGTCTGTCTGTCTGTCTGTCTGTCTGTCTGTCTGTCTGTCTGTCTGTCTCTCTCTCTCTCTCTCTCTCTGTCTATCTATCTTATCTATCTATCTATCTATCTATCTATCTATCTATCTATCTAATCTATCTAATCTATCTAATCTATCTATCTAATCTATCCATCCAATTTATTTGCTGCCCATCTTGTGGTTTGGCCAATTCTGATGGTTTATATCAGCTTCAATGGCATAGCTACGTTTTTAAGGCCTTTCTTGAAGTCCCTCTCTCTCTCTCTTACATTTTATACAGATAGGGTAATGTACAACAGCAGATAAGCAAAGTATAAGCCTAAGTATTATAAAACAGTGTTACTGGGCTTTTTCAGAGAAAACTAGTTTGGGAAGGAAAAGGTTATAAAAGAACCTGTTTGCTATTCTGCATTTGGATTGAATTTATACTACAGAATAGTTCAAAAACCAAGTTTCACTTTCCCTTTATTATGGATGTCTGCATTTAGATATCTAATAGCACATGTGATAAATGAAGATGTCTCCCCAGTGCAACTCCCAAATATGGTGCATATACTGTATTTTTGAAGGGACTGCATATCAGATCATGAGTACCTGCTGTGCGAGGCCTTCTCTGCTCTCAGTGGAACTCAGAAGAATCCTGCGATTGGCCAAAGCCTCTTCATAAGGCACTGAATCAGGACAAGTCTGGAACCCAAAAAAACCCTCATTTTAGTGAACCAGGCTAGCCAAGAATATCTTGTGTTTTTAATCATCCTTTCCCCTTGTTAACAAAAAAGACTTTCCAGATGCTTTCCCATCCTCTAGGGCAGAGGTCTGTGCTATTATTCTTAGCATCCCAGGCAAAAATGGCAAATGCAGGCCTTGCTTCTCCTCTATATAAATCGCACCTCAACACAATGAATTAAATCATGGGTGTTATTCTGAACGAACTTTATGCTGGAAAAAATGGTATTAAACTTCACGCAGTACAAAGATGGCAAAGACTACAGGAAATGTTGGGAACAGGGAGGAGATTATGGCTGTATGGAGGAAAAAAATGCAATGACAGCTGGCCAAAGTGATAAAAGTCACAGATGAGAAATGGTTTTTTTTCCAGCTCCTTGCTACTAACAAACACAAATGAGTGTGTTACTCTTGCCAGTTTTCTCCATCCAGCTAAAAGCAAAACATGAAGACACCACTCGTTAAATTAGTGTTTATAGCAAGTGAGCCTTCATGTCCCTTGTAGCACTTCACAAGACAAAAACACATGAGAATTCAAGAAGAAATATTTTTAATCAACCCATTTTATCTTCTCCATGAATGTACTATAACTAATTAAAATTAACAGGCTGGGAAGATACATGATTAAAGGTCTGAATTCTTCCTGGTGCCTATATATTTTGCATGTGTGAAAAATGTTCTTCCCATCAATCTCCCGTGATATGTTATTTCTGTTTTCCTTATCCTTTTTATCATGATCTTCATATTGTAAAACCCATGGGGTGGGACAGTCTTGTTTTAAATGGTCCTATTTAAGCAGCTGAGAAACCTTTCAGCTGAAGTCGTATACTATGACCAAAGACATTTTTTTAAAAAAACTTTTTAAATAAAAAAAGGAATATCTATTTCAATATCCAGCACATTATATTCTAATAACAGACATAAATTTACCCATTTTAAATTTAAGCATAATCCTGAAGTTACAGTTTTTGTATAGGTACTCATCTATCACTTGGAAGATAAGTCTTTTCAGCTTTTTGCACTCTACTGTTCAACTCTAAAAGCTTGAGGGATACTCCAGAACTTGAAAAAATACAAGCAGGTATAATATGTGGAAGGAAGGTAAACAAATTCACACTGCAGGGGAAACCTGTTCATGGGGCTAATATAAATGAACACAGCTATAATTCTAGCTATCTGCGAACAGGAGAAAGCTTCTGAGAATTTTCTCATTATTTTGCAACCATTCATACTAACGTCGTATAGATGTTAAGAAGGGTTCCACAGAGCTAAGCAGAAATTAGTAGATTGCAAATTTGTGGTTAGCACCCACTCTGCATACTACCTAAGAGGGAGGGGAAGAGATTTTGCCACATTACACTAAGCTTCAAAAAATTGGATGAGTTACATGTCCCTGTAGAAGTAAGCCATAAAAATATTCAGGACACAGCACAGTGCCTTGTTGCTTTCTGCTCCTTCCTGAGGTTTGGCACAAGGTTTAGAGAAATCGTGTCACAGTAAATGACAAAAATATTCTTAAGATTGTTGGCTACGGCGATTAAACAATGGACAATAAACATCAGGTATAAGAAGAGATACTCATGGGCCTTATTGCTAAGATAGACAGTTCATCACTAAGAATTCGCTCCTTCTGCTGACAATGAGGCTTATGCCAAGTGCCTCATTAACTCTCCATGGTTCTACTTAATTTAAATCCTCAAATAATTTATCTCAAATCCTCCTCAGCCCATATGGACATCCCAAATATATTTTCCCCCAAACAGCCATAATTCCTATCCCTCGGTTTCCTACTTCTTGGAATTCCTTTCAGTTTCCCTCACAGGCTAACAGCAGGAAGCCTATTACAACTCTCACGCTCATCCATCAATTTTCAGCCTCTGCAATCTCTGAAGTGGCTTCAAACTAGCTAATACACCATTGAGTAACAAAAATGGTTCCATCTCTAACAAAGAACCTCTTCATAAGAGGAAAATATTTCAGTCCCACATGAAAGGACTTTTTGAGCCCACCCAAGGAATCCAAGTTGCTGTTGGTGTATCTATTGTATGTGAACAAGCACAAACCTTCTTCAGAAGTTTTATGTAGGCAGCTGCTTTCTTCTTATACTGAAGCATGCACTCAGCTGAGAGGGGGTTGATAAATGCCATTCCTCCTTTAGGTCCATAACTCAGTGATAGTGTGAAACTATCTAAATTATTACAGAAGAATGAAGCAATCTAGACATACAAAAACAAGAAACATGATATACTGGTCTGCTTTGGATACAAAATTAAACCACAGTTTAACATAAATTAAATAAGTAATCATTTAATAGATTGTCAATTCAAAAAAGATGATGGTGGCCAGTCACAAAAAACCAAATCCCAGAAGGCCAATAGGTGAGATGGCCATTGAGGGCCATTAAGATAAAGCTTGTATGGACACAAAAAACCAGCAGTAGGTTACTACCACCATTTTTTATTTTTAAACTCCATAGGGCCTTGAACTTATGGTGAAATATGTTAGAGGTTGACATTCTGCAACATCAACATCCCATTTAATTAAAAAACTGAAACTGGTAATAACAAAAGTGGGGGCTGAAGGCATGCATGTAAAGTAAATGTGTAGACGTTTCAGTCTAGATATATTGAACTTATATTCTACCTGGCTTTTTTTTTTTAGGGATTTACCACATGAATAGTAATTCTCAAAAAAAAATAACCCTAGTCACAGTATGATATTGTGTTCTAAATGTATCTCCCAGATGACTGATCAACTACTTTTTTTAACTTGGTTTTTTTTTTCTTGGTGCCTTCAAGTTAGTGTCGACTCCTGATGACTGCCTGAAAAAGTTACTGCAGTTTTCTTGGCAAGATTTTGGAAGTAGGTTGCCATTGCCTGCTTTTTAGAGTTCAGAGGAAGTGACTGGCCCATGGTGATCCAGCTGGTTTTTGTGCCTAAGGTGAGACTACAACTCAAGGTCTCCCAGTTTCTAAAATGAAGCTTTCACCACTACTGGCTCTCCAGATAAGTCACTGATTGAGTCGAAAACAAACTTTACCTTGCCTGTTGCATTAGTTAATGCCATCAGAGAGGATAAGATACAATCATTGGTGGTGATGAGCTTCTGAGTGGCTATAGGGAGCTCATGTTCCAAGGTAGCTTTTTGACTAAAGTGCTTAGAAATATCTAAAATCAAAAGGAATTAATATGTATTGGTTATGCATATAAGTCACAGTACCATTACCTGTAAGATTTATATTCCATCTCAAGAGAGTTCACATGGAGATTTACCTTCATTGTATTCCCCGAAAATCCTGTCAACACTCATGACTGAAGGTGAACTGGAAATCTTCAAATTCTCAATCTTAACTGTTACATTTCCTTTGAACCTCTCATTCTAATCCAATTTGAAAATCTATTTCTCCTTGCTATTTCTAACTTTTACTTTTTTCTACCCAAAAGAGCGTTTTTACAAGAAGATATGTCTTACTTCCTGCTCAATATTATGGAGACCAATAGCTCCCATATGTTGCTGCTCAGTAATCTATATTTTTTTAAAAACAAAAAACAAAACAGGCTTTATTGCCAGAAAAAAAAAACTTGCAATGTAATTGCTTCCCTCACCTTCTCATTTCCTTGAATGAGGGTGAACTACACAGCAAGTTCAATTGGTCTCACCTTTCATAACTTCATGAAATCCATTAAGAGCTGAAGCAATGCATGTAAACACAGAGTTGAAGTTCGTTCGAACCAGGTGATCTGCTTTTGTGCCTAGATTGTATAAACAGCAGTATATTGAAATTTGGTGACAAATACAATATTTTAAAAAAGCATGAAATGGGAAGAGAAACACAGATTAGTATTGCGTAAACAAATCAAACACCTCTTTTGAAATAAACCACAGACCTAACTTGGTTAAATAGTGTAATCAATGAGCCCAAAAGGCAGCAACATCCAATTATAGTTTATTTCTACTTATTTATTACATTTGTACCAAGTTCAGATTTCTTCTTTTAAGCAGAATTAAGATGGCACAGAAAAACCATCTGAAAAATATGATGTGGCATTATATTATAAAATATTCAAATTAATTGCATTTTTTAATTTTCTAATGATTGTCAGCACACAATAAAATCACTACCATTCAGATTAACAATTTAAACAAAATTAGAATCACTCATCTGAGTGAGAACCCAAATTAGTGAAGTTTTAGATCAATCCTATTTTAAATAATGCAAATCATTTCATGGGATTGATTTCAATTATTTTCCTTCATCTATTACGTGAGTTATTACAGTGAAAGATACAAATGTATAGGCCAGCTTCTTTGGGTCAATTAAGAGAATGAATTCAGAATCTGTCTTTTTTCTTGAAGAAGTCACATTTCATACATCACACTGAATCCTGAATTGTTGTTGCCCAAAGCCCACACTTACTGGGTAAGGCTAGAAGACTAATGTATGTATGCAGCTTCTCAAAGATTGCCGTCAGCTTCTTCATATCATTTTGCAGGTTCATATTCATGGCTCTTAATGCAGCTGTGCAAAGAGAAGATTCACACTCTTCTTCCAAACTAGGAACATATGAATTTATGTTTTTGAGAGTGAGTATTATGATGGTGCTTTGATACTTTTTAAAAAAAAAGTAGAAAAAAAAGAACATAAGAAGAGCCTGCTGGGTTCAGGCTATAAAACCAATCTAGTCCTGCATTCTGCATTACACTGCGACAATTGCATAGATTTGGATAGCATAAAGCCTGAAAGAGTAATAAGTCCTTTCCACTATCACTTTCCAACCTAAGCATGCTCCTCCTGAGTAAACAATCATCAAAATCAGTAGTCATTGAAAGCTTGATCCTCCATCAACTTTTTCAGACTTCATTCAAAACCACCCATATTAACTGCCATTATCAGAAGTCTAAGCAGCAATTTCGATTAGATTAGATATTTAAAAATAATTTTAATCCTGTTATTTTCATAAATAACTCACAGTGGCAAATATATCTAATATTCCTTCCTCTTCCAGTTAATTTATCATTAAATCTATGACTAATCATGATTAATTATAAATAAATGATTTAATTATGTGTGATGTGAAAACATATTCCCTACTTGAGCCCTGAATCTTTCTGTATTAGGTTCAATGAATGACTGAAAACGCTGCATTGCCTAAGCCATGAATGATTTTATATAGTTCTATCTTTCTTGTCTTCCCTTTCCCACTTTAATTTAAGCTAAAGGGCCTGAGTTTTTATAATCTTTCTTCATACTTCAGCCTCCTAATAATTTTGGTATCTCATTTGTACAGATTTTTAGCTCAATAATATTGTTTTCAAGATGTGGTGGTAGCAACTGTACACAATACTGAAAGGATAGTTTCACCACAGATTGCAAAAGAAAAGTAATCAAAGGTAACTGCTAAACATAACTGTTTCTTAATAATTCCAAACATGGAATTTGCTTTTTTTTTTTTTAAATGGCAACTGCACAATGGTTGGACATGAGGCTGTCCCATGAACACCTGATTAAAGGGGTCTGAACTAACATGATCCTGTCAAACGCCGGGGAAATCTGGAGATTCAGGTAGTTCAAATGAGTAGCTCTCTACAAGAATCTGGCCAAGTGACCGTTAAGGGAATGTGCAGGAGTTAAGAAAGGAATTCAAGGTGGGCTGGACTTAGATCTCTTTCAGGCGAACTCGTGACTTATGACACGTCAGGCTCAGCCTGGTCATCTCCTACAGATCCAGATCATTAATCTGAAATGCAGCAGTCCAAAGAAAGCCAGAATGCATTATTGCAGCCTTCACCAACCTGACAGTCTCCAAATGGAAATATGACTACCAGAATTCCCAACCAGTACAGATACCATGACATCTGGAGAAAACAAGTTAATGCTATTTTATTTCTTTTTTAAAATCCAATTTGATATTATAAAGCAACTTTAACGAGGCATGCTCTGACACATTAAATTTTGATGGGTATTCAAGCATCACATTTCCTGCTTAATCTTCCTTATGACAATTGACCTCACTGTAAAGGGAAAGAACACAATCAAGTTTGCTAGTTTTCCTCTTGCCCTTCTCCCTGAACTGGTGGAAAAAAGATCTGAAAAGGGTCTTGTATTCTATGTATCTGCTTTATCTAAATTGCTTAGGGAAAAAAATTCTGATAGTACCTTTTCAACTGATAAGGAAGAATCTTCCTGAGAAAGCAGACATAAGATGTTAAGTAGTCAGAAAAAGTTTTTAATTCCGTAGTTGTTTCCTTGCAAGAAAAAAAAGAAGTTTTAGATATTTAGTACCAAGAAGCTTTAAATAGGGAGGTATAGCAACAGAATAACAATATTACCAGCACTGTGATGGTGTCTTCTGTGATACTCTCAAACAAATGCAGAATTCCTTCCTCCAGTGGGCGAATGTAGGACGCATTTTCATGAAGGTACTGTGAGAACTGAATGCAAAGAGATCTATTAGCTGGCACTACTGCAGCATCTTAGTTATATTTACCTTCAAGGGTTAAGGTACTTCACTAAGAAAGATTTTGCAGTTGATTTTATACTGCCACTTGGAACAGGGAGAAAAGAGAAGAAAACAAACTTTTAAAGGTATTAATGTGAACAGCTAATCTGCTCAGAAGAAATTTAAAACTTGAAGTTATTTATACAACGGAGATATTTTAGAAAATACTTGTGTTGAAAGAAAATAATTCCAGTCCTTTAAATATTTCAGAGACTCATTGTTGCCAAATGGTTTAATGGTTTACATATTAATTTGGTCAAACTACTGAAAAACAGAGTTTAATTTTTCATCAATTACGCAGCTTCAATAATTCCTAACTACAAATAGGCAACTCCTTCTACACACACCAGTAACTTTTCCTGATACAGGAAAAAAAAGCTTTGCATAGTTTGATCACTGTTTCATCAAATTCAACATTGTTTCTAGCTGAAGGGAGTTCAGAAGGCACTTCTCTTTCCCTCTTTATAAACTTCTATTAAGTTCCTTTTAAATAACACGATTCTAAATGAAGCAAGCGCCAAATGTTTCAGTAGGAAAGTGACAAAAAGTCTTGAATATTAATAAATGCCCTTTTCTGGACTTCTGTTCACTTTCTGTGCCATCACATCCTTAAGTGAGCATCTTTTACGTAGCATTCCATCAATAACATTATCCTCAGTTATCCCCCACAAAATTGACTATTTTAGGGCAAATATTTCCCGTAGTTATATTTATTTTTAATTCACAAGGTCAACGAACAGTCCAAGGACCTCTTACAGTAAATTTAAAACAAAATAATAAGGGAATATGCAAATTTAAAACGACAAGTGCAGGGAAAACTCAGAAATAAAGTTAAAAAAACAGAAGCCCTAAATCAGAAGATCCTGTACCAAAATATTATTGGAGATTGCCAAAGAAGCCACTTTTAGGAGAAAATCTTACAAGCCAGGTTTGTGTTGGGGGGCAGGGATGGGTGTGTGTGTGTGTGTGTGTTATCACACCAAAAAGAAAGCTCTCTTCAATTGGGGGGGAGGAGAAAGGCTCCAGTTATGGTTGCATTGAATAGATAACTTGAAAGCTACTATATATGAACAACTTTTTGAGAAATTAAGCAGAGTTTTCCCTACCATGTGCGGCTTTTTTTTTCATTTGAAGATGCAATATAATCTGGAATTGCCAAATTAGAAATGAAGTTATCCTGAGAGATTAGAACAACATATCTCAGCCAATTCTGCATACCGAAGGTTTCACAAATGCAGAAGTTATTTTAACAGTTCTACTGTACTTGTCAAGCTATAGAATGCATAGAAGCAGCATGTTATTATCCGTTCATTATATTTAATGGTATAAAATTCCCCCAATAATCATACCTTCTGATTTAATGGTGAAATGGTATCTGTGGCAGAATCAATGGGGAAAATCTGAATTCGCTGCTCAGTGTAGGTGTGGAAATTAAGGAGAGCTGTCACTAAATCCTGGATAAAGGCCAGAGCTTGACCAGCAAGATCACGAAGTTTCAACTGTAAAAATATAGAGAACCAAGATACAACTTTATAAGAGCTTTTATCCAACAGTGCTCCCAACTGAAAAATAGAAACGCCAGGATGATATTTAAAAGACCAGATATGCAAAAACTCAGTAGCACACATTGGCATTTCAAATTAGACATGGAGTTAAAAGTAAGAGGCACACAAACAAAAAGCAGATCATATAAGTGACTTTGCTCTTCCACCCTTCTCTAGCATCCCTTCTGAAGATAACTTTCCATGTTAGAGTAGATTGTTGTTGTTTTTTTAATTGATTTATATGCCACCCTTCTCCAGAGACTCAGGGCGGCTTACAATGCGTTAAGCAATAGCCTTCATACTTTTGTATATTTATACAAAGTCAGCTTATTGCCCCCACAAACTGGGTCCTCAATTTACCTATCTTAGAAAGGATGGAAGGCTGAGTCAACCTTGAGCCTGGGGAGATTCGAACTTGCAGTAATTGCAGGCAGCTGAATGTTAATAACAGGCTATTAGCCAGCTGCACCACCAGGCCCCTTACATAAGTGTTACATAAGTTTTAGCTGCAAAGGAATGGAGTTGTTCCCAAATGAGCTGGAACAAGAGCTGACATAAGAGGTTTGGAATTGATTTGAGATTTGTCTTACAACTCTATACTCAATATCATATCTGCAAGATACAGTATTTATTTATTCTTCAATTAAATACAGCATCTCACAAACCTTGCTCTCAAAAATATAAGTAGCATGGACCTGATTAATACTTTGTTAAGAGACCATAAGAAAAACCCAGAGATGTAGAGTAGACTGGAAAGTTGAAAAAACATAACAGACAAGAGTAATGCAAATGCAAATATCAATATGATCACCAGAAATTGAGTTTAGCTCAAGAACTTTCTCTTTTCATGAAAATAGATCAATCCCATAAACTGTAGTTCAAAATGGGGAAACAAATTCTGGCATTAAGTGCTCCTGTCCTGCAGCTGTCCTCCTTCCCGAAACCAATTCCTTCATTTTTCATTTAAAAGGAATCAAGCAGAGTTTCTGGTCTCTCTTCTTTTAAAAAAAACATTTCTACTGTACTAGATATTACTCAGAATCTGAAAACATTTAAACATACTTAATGGGGAATCAGCATCACATATGCAGTGATTCACAAATGCCAAAGAAATGTACATTTCTTAATTTAAACACCCTTAATTGTATTACTCACTTGCCTACGTCGATTATGTAACGGCACATTCAGAGCATTATACTGGCTAGATCCTACAAAATAATCAATTCACAGTATTAGATCAAGCGTATTTCCTCTTATCATCTTTTTAAAACTTTTTGTCAGTTCATAAATCATCCAAGAGTGGATGGTATCTTTACAACATGTACCAGTAACTATATTTTAAAATGAAAATAATGTATATATAAATACATGCAGTTAAACATATATTCAGTCAGAATATATGACTGAATATGTTTATTCTTATAAGAATAAGAAAACAATCTCAGCTTTCAATTTTCTATGATTTTTTTCCTTTATTCAACTGCAAATGCAATCAATTCAATTCAATACCTACTTGTATCATTGAAAGGTACTTTTTCACTTATAATTTGTAAAGACTCATCCAATCTGCTACCCAAGTCTCTATGAAGATGCTGTAGTTGCTGCTGGCTAGAAGACAAAAATAAAACATCAACATTTTATTCGTTGTTCATTTTCTTAAAAAGCTAATAAACAATACAAAAAAAGTATACTCTCAATATTACAATTCATCAAGAAAACAAAACTTTTTATTAATATAGTACTAATTAGTACTATACTATTAGTATGTCATGGCCCCATCGGAGCCCGGTTTGGAGGAGGAGGAGGAGTTGGAACTGGGACCGTCCGACAGGGATGGTACGTCTTCCTTGGCATGTTTGGAGAAATCAGGGGCTGAGTTGATGCTGTCCCAGGCCTCCGGCATTGGGAAAGGTAGTTGACCAGACGGAGAGCTGCCTGCCCTCACAGAGACAGAGGAGAATCGGCTCCGTACAGGCAGTGTGCTGATAGGTAGATCCCCTCTGATGAGGAACAGCTGCCTCCCACACTCAATCCAAGGGCACAGAGAGCAGAGCATAGAGAAGGGCTGCAAGGCTACTCAGGAGAAGATTGCCCCACCTCTCCTCACAAGGAACACCTGAAGTGGATTGACTTAAGGGGAAGCTATGGAGAGTTAGCCTTTGCCAGGAACAATTGATTGTTTTGGCTTACACTCCTTCCCCCCCCCCCGCTCCCCCAGGCTCTGATTCGTGCCTTTCCTTGAGGACTGCCTTCTGCCTTTTGTCTTGTACCTTGCCCTTGTTCGAAGACTGCGTTTTGCCCTTTGCTTTGCCTCGAGAACTGCCTTTTGCCTTGTACCTTGTCTTTGCCCTGAGGACTGCCATTTGTATTGTCCCTTGACTTTGCCTCATGGAGCGTTACCGGCCATTGGGAGGCTGTTTGTTGGAACACTTACTGAGAGCAATAAAGGACTTTCTAGAGGCCTGCCTTGCCTTGAGCGCCTGGATCATAACATAGTATTACATTATTGATACAGGTCATCCTCGACTTACAACAGTTCGTTTAGTGACTGTTCAAAGTTACAACAGCACTGAAAAAAGTGACTTACACTTTCTCACATTTTCAACCGCTGTAGCATCCCCATGGTCTCATGCTTAGCAACTGACTCACAGCTATGATGGTTGAAGTGTCCCGTGGTCATGTGATCACCTTTTGCGACCTTCTGACAAGCAGTCAATGGGGAAGCCAGATTCATTTAAAAACAGTGTTGCCAACTTAACTGCAGTGATTCATTTAACAACTGTTACAACAAATGGGGCAAAACTCACTTAACTGTCTCACTTAGCAACAGAAATTTTGGCCTCAATTGTGGTTATAAATTGAGGATTACCTGTATTAGCAGTGCAACAATTCAGTGCCACAATACAAATATTTGCATCTCCCTAGCAGTTATTTATTCAAGTACATTACAGCAGTACTTTTCAGTCACTTTATATTATTTTAAAACTAAAGTAAGACCTTAAATCAGAGTGACTTTTGACCAATGTAACTGTTTGGTTTGTTTTGTTTTGTTTTTATAGAGGTACAAATATTACATCCTGATCTTAATTACAATAACAAAAAAGATTCTACAGTAACTTGAATACCCACCTGAAAGCAAAAAGCAGGATATTAACTTTTACTAGCTCATACGCTAGTATATTATTTTTACATACTCTATTTGGCAGTAGATTTTTGGTGTGCTTCATGAAGTCAATGGATACGCTCACCCACCCCAAAAATCTTATAGGACCAGAAGGCAGTAACAGTAAAATGCATATAAACAAAGTTTTAAAACTAACCCCTATGTATAATTAGGTATGCATTTAAGTTTAATGCTGGTGCTTGATGATCAAGGTGATAATAAACAGTACTCATTTAATTAAAAACTTTCTCTAAATAGACATTAATAGTATTTAATCTTCAATATCAAAAGCATACCACTCTTCTGTTCGACCTCTGCAGTCCTTGGCTTCCTTCTCTAGGCTTTGAGATTTGATCTAAAAGAAAAAGCAGAAGAAAAATCAGAATTGGCAGTATGTATTTGCACAATCAATTCTATTCCAAGATCAGAAATTAGCATTCAAGAGCATTGTATATTAAAAAAATCTAAACTATCAACACATTTTTTTTTAGGAAACTAGACAACTGAAACTGTTATAGAATGAGAGAAATGAAAAGGATCATCATCATCTTTTAACAACCCCATAATCCCTTGCAGGGTGGAGTCTGGGCAACTGAATGGAGCAAGCAGAGTGTTTAATGGCCGGATGCCCTTCCTGTCGCCAAAGCTGTATAGTATAGTACAGTACAGTACAGTACAGTACAGTACAGTACCGTACCGTATCGTATCGTATAGTTTACTTTATTGTCATTGCACATGGTACAACGAAATTAAATGCTGTCTTCAGTGTACATTATAACGATAAAAAAACACCAAAAATATACATCCTTTACATTTTATATAATTGGAATTGAAAATCCGATATTGCACTATACCGTAGAATTCAATATGGTTATTGCCCTGGGATAGAAGCTGTTTTTCAGCCTATTTGTCCTTGTTTTTATTCACCTATACCGTCTGCCAGATGGTAATAGTTCAAAGAAAGGGTGCCCAGGATGAGATGGATCTTTATAGCGGGAGCTATAAAGTTCTTCCAAGGAGGGGAGAGAGCAATCAATGATCCTCTGGGCAATGACCTTGACCCTCTGGAGTGCTCTCCTATCTGCCACTGTGCAATTGGCAAACCATACACAGATGCAGTAAGTTAAAATACTCTCTATGGTGCAACGGTAGAAGGCCACCAGCAGTTTTTCATTCAGTTGTTGTTTCCTGAGAAGTCTCAGGTAGTATAATCTCTGCTGGGCCCTTTTGACCAGTGCTGCAATGTGAGTGCCCCAGGTTAGGTCCTCTTTTATGATAACACCCAGAAACTTAAAACTAGCCACTTGCTCCACTCAGTCTCCATTGATAAACAAGGGCTGGATGTCTGATCTATTCCTTCTATAGTCCACTATAAACTCCTTGGTCTTATTTGTGTTAAGGACCAAGTATGCAAGGATCCAAGGTTCATTCTGGTCTCATCTTAAATTTAAAAGATACAATTCTCAAACTGCCACTGCTTGAATCATTTAAGTGTGAAAAGAGCAGAGTTCTACAACAGGGAAGTTACAGCTTTAAACTTACTTCTAACTTCGCTTTATCATTTTGCAGCTTTTCTATTGTATCCATGTACTTCCTAGTAAGGCCATCCACCACAGCTTGATGCTGTGCAGTCTCCATCTCTAAAAATTCAAGTCTGCTTCTCAGCTCACCTTCTAAGCGCTTATGTTGCTCATCTGCCTCAAAGAACTAAAATGAGAAGGGCAGAAAAGTTATCACACATAATATTAAACTCCATCAATAGCTGCCAAGATAGACAAACTGTATAATAATAAATGTTGGAAATGCCATGAAATAGAAGGAAGAGTTTAGTATATATGGTACATTTTTTAAAAGAGTATATACATATAAACTCTTTAAAGTATTGGAAAGTATTGGAAAGAAATATGCAGCATCATTCAGAGAAATTTAGAAATCGAATCTGAAATGAAACCACAATTGTTCTTACTAGGCATAATTCCAAAACATATTAAGAGAAATTGTAATTTGCCTTTTTAGTATTTCTCATAAGTTATATCTTTCTAAGATGACCTGCTACTTCTACAGGTACTTCTCAGTTAACCAGAACAACTGGGCCCAGAATTTCCATTGCTAAGTGACACGGTTGTAAAGTGCAACATCATCTGACCAAGCTGCTTAGCAACAGCAATTCTGGCACTTCTGGTTGGCATTGTTAAACAAATCCCGCAACATTATTAAGCGCAATGGCATGTAGTCACCATCTGCAGCCTCCTGTCGACATTTCCAATAATTTTGCTTGTCAGAAGCCAACAGTGAAGGTTACTAACGATGATCAAGTACCCATGAGATGCTGTGATGTCAGAACTGTAAGTTAGTTACCAATTTGTAACTAGCTTACAAATTGGTACACAATCACAGAGATTATGATCATGTGACTGTGACCATCATAACTGCAAGCCAGTTGCCAGGCACCCAAATCACAATCTCATGACTGCAGGGACACTGCGACGATTGAATCATCAAGGACTGGTCATAAGTACCATTCGTTCAGCGCCTTCATAACTAAAATAGGTTGCTGAACAAATGTTGTTAAGTGAGGATCACCTGTACTGACACAAGCCAGTTCATTTCACAGGATGGTTGTAGAATTGAATCAAGTGGCTATCTTTGCCTAAACTGTCCTGATGTTATATTCAGGTTCTTGTTCTAACTGCTTTATTTTAAGAATGGAGAAACACTAACCCAGAAGCCTAATCAAGCTTTCAAGACCATTTGTCCAGCCTATGGGTTAAGGTTTTTATTTATTTAATTTATACACAGCCCATCTTGCTGACACATAACTCAATTGAGGTCCTTTTTTGCCCATCCAAATCCATTTATTTCAGAAAGATGGCCCCCAAAGACATATTTTCTGGGCCTAGAAAAAATATTTCTGGCAGCTTACTAAAATCAACAAGAAGATAAACTTGGAGTTTGGCCCCATCTACAATAACATTACTCAGACCAAGTGAGAGTGACTGGGAAAGGATACAACTTTTTCACTCAACTGTGCCCCACTATTTCCTTACTAATTTCTGTCAAGAATGTAAGTGTTTGGATGATGTATTAAACAAAACTACCTACCTGAATATGTAACCTCTCATTTTCTTCTATCTTTTTTTGAAGATCTTCACCAAAGACGTTTTTCTGTTCTTGACTCAACTGAGATACAGAGTCACCACTTTTCTAATCAAAACAAAACATGCTTGTTTGCTGAAGGTACTTTTCATATCATTACTTCCATGGATTTTTACAATAAAATAATTAGTTAGCTAAGAATTCTAACATGGGAGAATTCTTAACTATTTGTATTACTACATTTATAGAATATGCTAGAAAACCAGCTTGCTACCTACCTTGTTCTTCTTGCCTTTAGATTCATTTAATGCAAGTTCATCTTGAAGCAGCTCTACTCTCTTGGCCAACTGCTGATTTCGAAAAGTCAAACTATCCATTTCCTGTTGCAGCTTCCTGAGTGATTGGTCTTTCATTTTCATTTGTTCCTGTATTAAGATCAAATGTTTCATCACACTGAGTTCTAGCATGGATTGATTTTAACAATTCCTTGTCATATCCAATGTCCTCAAAACACCAAAGAGAATCATGGTGTTTTATCTAAGATTACTAAAGCTAGTTAAGTGATGTATTCAGCATTTCTGTATAGAAATGCTGAATACAAAATAATGTTTATTTGATAAATATAAAAAATATTTATTGCATTGACAGGCTGCCTTTCTTTTTTAAAAGCTCAATGTAATTTATACGGGAGTGTCTCTCTAATGTCTCCATAACAACAATTCTATGAGGCAGATTGGAATAACTGATTGGCCAAAGGTTATTCCGTAAACTCTTCAGTCAAATATGGATTTGAATCTGGGACTTCTTGCTTAAGGCTAATACTACACTACACTGACACTCTTACTACTGATACTTTGGTGGGAATTTTAAAAAATAAACTTTCAATAGGTTTCATTATCAATTCAAAATAAACTTACGATCAACAAATGAAAATGATGCTTCTATATGGAAATTTAAGAGAAGATTGTTTTGACTCTTGTCAATTCTGTGATAGACCTTCAAAAAATTGAAATGTGATGTTTGTCCTTCCCAAGGTAAATGACAGCAATTCTCCCACATGGATTAGCTTTGACTATAAACCCAATTCTGCCACAAGCAGTCAAGAGGTCTTACACAAAAGAAGTGGTGACAGATTTCACAAAGATTAAACTAAAACTCTCTGTGATACCATTTATTTTTAAGATGAAAGAATATTTCACACATTACATATCAGCTAATTCAGAATCATAGTAGACAATGGCCAGCCTTATTGAGAAATTTTCTTTTTAATCAAGCTATTATTCAGTATTTTTAAGCTATACCTTTAGAGCTGCTGAGTTTGCCTGCTCATCCATTACACCCTTTTTCAATACTTGATTTTGAGCTCGAAGCTGCAAAACAGAGAAATTATTAACTCAGTTATGAAGCAATGTGGTCTTTGACATCCTTTAGGAAAATATTAAACACTTTTACAAAATACAGATAAGAAGTAAATAAATAAAGATTCCAAAACAAATTTAAGCTTTGGAAACTAATTCACAAACATAATTTGGGCCCATAAAACTGTCTATCTATAGCTAAAAAATATTTGAAAATTATCTATATGGTGAATTGAACAGCATTAGTCCAAAGAGGGTCTCAGTAAACAAGCAATGTTGAAGTAAAAGAATTCCAACCAGAGTTCTTGAAATATAACCCAAAGAGCAATGATTAATCAATGAGCATGTACATTCTTTTAATATAATTTATTATATTTATAGCCCACCTTTATTTTTTTTACAACATAAGATGGTTAAAGTATAAAGCTCTTACCTTCTATTTCCCTCATCCCCACCCCCCATCCCACAAAATCACCAAAAGGTGGGTTGGGCTGAGAGAGACTATGACTGGCACAGAGTCATCAACCAGCTTTTAGAGAGGACTAGAATTTATGGTTTCACCAACCTCTGGCCCAGTACCTTAATCACTACACCAAGTGAGCTCACAATATAAGAGACTGGATAAAAATTCTAATTTAAAAAATTCAACTTTGAGTGCACAACATCAGTGTTGTGCCCTCAATAAAATGCTACATTCTGTTGTCATTTTAACCCAAATTAATTGTTGGCTCTTTTTTACAATACAGTATTAATGCTCTTTCTTTCCCAATTCCCATCATGTGAACAGGTTATTTATACGATCCCAGCCTTCCCTAAACGGGAATGAGGGTGGGATGATGGAGCTGAGGACAGAAAGGCTGAAGCAGATATAAAGGAAATCCTCAGGCTAGAATCTTTTCACACCAGTTGCTCCCTGAATTGATTGAAACATCAGGGCGTGAATGCATGCAAACGAATTCGGTAAAGAGCTGCGTTTCCTTCCTCCATTGAAACAAGAGGCAGAGGAGACAAAAGATACATGCCAGCTCAACATTTCAAAGAGAAGGAGAACGACACCAAGTCTTTCCTGATACCTAGAAACGATAGGAGGGGACACATTAATGGGGGCTGAAACCACTGGCGGCGGGCCGTCACTTTTCAGGGTCTCGGTACTTAAGGGAGTTGGCACGTGCCAGTACCTTGGAATATTCCTGCGCTAGTTTCTGGTACTTCCCTTGCAGCTCGGTCGCTGCCGCCATGACCGCCCCTGTGTACGAGAAGCCGCTACCCGGAAAGCGCCCCTTCGCCTGCTCCAACCATTGTGGGAGACGTACTTCCGGGTATGGGCGGAGCGAACGTCAAGCATCGCCCACTCAGACCCCGCCTAGCGCAGCTCGCCTGTCCACCATCTTGAGCAGCTCTTAGCTGGGGAGCCGATCTGATTTAGCGCGAAGGGGCGGGGACTGAACATGGCTCCACCCCCGTTTTCTCTGAAAAGGAAAACGGCATGACAGACGAAAGGCAGGCGGGCGGGCGGGAGAATGTGCGAATGCGGGCTAGTTACTTGTTACAATGGCGGTTAGAAGGAGGAGGGGTTTTTTTTATTATTTTTTTTATCTGTTTTGGCCAGTTTCGAGGCGGTTCCCTGCAGTTCAGTTTAGCATTTCCGTGGCAGCCGCCGTTTGTTTTTTCCCCCAAACAACAAAAAATTGTTTGTCTACAGGAGCTTTAATTAATATAGATGGAAACATTACTTAGAATTTTTTTAAAAAAATTGTTAAAAGCCATTCGTTTTAAAATGTTTAATAAGCCTGGGTGACGAACGTAATTAATTAGAATAATGCAATTCAGGGAAAGGAAACGGAAGCGTTGCATAGCAATGTATATTGTGGCTCCCCTGACAACCTAGTTCTAATTTTGTTGCTTGTATCCTTACGATTTATATTGATATTGTTTCCGGATTGCTTATTTGTACCCTATGACTACCATTAAGTGTTGTACCTTATGATTCTTGATGAACGTATCTTTTCTTTTATGTACACTGAGGGCGTATGCACCAAGACAAATTCCTTGTGTGTCCAATCACACTTGGCCAATGAAAGAATTCTGATTCTAATGCCTTGGGGAAAAATCCGGGTTTTAGTAGCCTTCCAACAGTACAATGCCTGCCATTGGCATTGCCAGAAGATTGGCACCACCCGAATCTCGGGGGCAGAGGCTGTTCCATAGGGAAGTTGCTTTGACAGAGAAGAGATAGATATATACTTCTCCCTGCAAGATGGCAATATTTGAGAGAGGAATCTTGGAACATGCCTCCTCTTCTCCTCCCCCCACCAAAAAAAATCTGGTGAAATAGGCAAAAACTAACCACACTGTTTGATGGTTCCACAAGTAAATTGGTGCGTCCCATGTAAGGATCTGAAAGTAAAAACTAGTATCTTAGTTTGAAGCTGAAAATATACAGGAAGCCAGTGCAACTTGTGCACGGCAGTGGTGTTGTGTCGGCACACTTTGGAGCACCCAAAATGGTAATACGGTACTGCTGCTTTCTGCACCAGTTGAAGTCTCTGAGTGCTCTTCGAGGGCAGCCACGTGTACAGCATGTTGCAGTAATCCAACTGAGAAATGACTTAGGTTGGGTCCAAGAATTGCACAACTGACACATAAGGTGAATCTATGCAAAGACTCCCTTAGCTGCAGCTGTGAACTGCTCTTTCAGCAGTGCGTTTAAGAGGACCCCAGATTGTACACCAACTCTGTCTAGTTCGGTGCTATCCCATGTAGAGTTAAACCCAAAGCCACTAGGTATTGCCAAGGTTGAACTACAACCAGTTATTCCCCCGCTCAGAAGAACTAATGCAGCCAGGGGTGAAAATATAAAACTATGTATCAGCATATTGATGGCATTTTACCCAATGCTAAGGTATGCCCTTGCTCATAAATTTCATATAGTTCAGGCCTGCGCAGTTTGTAGAGGGGAAAGGACCATGTTGATACTTGAAAATCATTGCAGGTTGGTATGCGAATCAGCTGTTCGGCTCCTAGCAAGTGTTAAGCAACACTGGAGCAGGCAATGATGGTGAGATCTGGAGGAGAGATGCTTGGGAGCTCGTCTTTAAGGGCAGTGTCTGCAGTAGAATTTATTGATTTCTTTAAAAACACCAGTGGGTCACAAATGGCTACTTGATGGGGTACAATGTATATGTAGGGCTGATATAGATATTAAATATCAAAGGAATATTGTATCAAAATCTGCACAGAAATTAAAAAAAAGATTGTTCAACAGTTTCCTCAGAAACTTCAACCATAATTACAAAGGTTTGCCATCAGAAATAATAATGCGCTATGTGGTAATCATGATAATCAGTGGTGGGATTCAGATAATTTAACAACTGATTCTCTGCCCTAATGACCAAGTTAGTGGGCGTGGCCATGGTGGGCGTGGCCAGGGGGTGTGACAGGCAGCACTTGGCCTCCTGCACCCCCCGGGATTAAAAATCCGCTGTGGAAGGCGCCACCTCCTCCCCCGCCCCATTTTGGGCCTAGTATGCCTCCCTGCATCCTCCTGGGAGCAAAAATGGGCCACAGGGTGGTGGCGCACCCCCGTGCCCCATTTTGGGCCTAATAGGCCTCCCTGCACCTGGGAGCCAAAATGGGGTGTGGGGGGGATTCCTGGAAGAGGAGGGGAGGGGCCAGGCGGCAATTTAACAACCGATTCTCCTGAACTGGCTGAATCCCACCACTGATAATAATGTAATTATATCTTCTCCATCACAATTATTGCATGAGTAGAATGTCCCATCGGTATTTTTAGGAGTTTCATTCTCTTGTGGGATGCAAGAAGCAAGAGGATCTTTGTGCAGGACTGTGAATTCTTTGGCTAGGATTTTGCAGCTAAAATTACTCAGATTCATTCTGGTTGGACATCATCTGGGTGGGTTCAGAAGACCAATTGGTCTTGTGTTGTTAACAGGGTTCATTTCAGTTTGTTGACTCTAAGGAATAGATAGGATGATCTGTCATGTGTGGGTTACATTCCTGTCCTATCTGGCTCCTTCAGAAGCATGGAGGTACAATATAAATAATGGGAAGTTATTATGTGTGCCCACTTGAAAGAACCAGAGGTGCATCCCTTCCTGAGGACGTCCTCTATTGTAGCCAACGTAGACAGTTTCCAACTTTTTCTTTTTTAGGGAAGTTGGTTGAAAGAGAACCACAAATAGAGAGCACATTGGATGAAGCAAATAGATTATTTCCAGTTGGAAACCAGGTATGAGAAGAACTGCCTTGGTTGCCCTGCTTGAATGATCCCTTCATTGTGATACTCAGTTACAATGAGTGGACAACACATGTTATTAGGGATAGAAAAGAGATTGCCCAGACTGCTATTCACTTGTGTGGCACTGCAGAGTTTGTTGTTTTCCCTTTCCCTTATAGTATCTATATGACACCATAGGAAGAAGTTTAGGGTAAGGTGTTGTTAGAATGTGGATGATAACCTGCTATTTATTGATAACCTTATTTATTTATTTAAATCATATTTGGCAGAAAACAAGAAAGCTAAAGTCAAGGAATATATGGATGACTTCTGACTTTAACAGATAATTACAATCTTATCCTTTCTTGCTTTAGATTTTATACACGGTAACTATTAGACAGACCCTATGAAAGATTAGGGAGAGTTCACCCTTTCACTTTCTACATGCCAAAGATTCCATGCTGAGCTGCTTCTTTGTTCATTAGAAAAGACCCCCTTCCTCTTGTAACTACTACATTCCATCACAGGGAAGCAGTCAAAACTAAGCTCCTTCACAGAGGTTTTTTTTATTAATTTTAATGAATCATTCATTTAAATTGGGTGTGGTTGCTTAACATGGTAAATACTGTGATAGTACGGTGTTGGTTTTATTTATTAATGGATTTTTTTTTGTAAACTTCCAGGAGTTCATATGGAATTGGTGATATCTATAAGAAAATAAGGAATGTTTTTAGATCCATTTGTAAACTATTTTTTATCAGAAGTTCATAATTCTAAAATGAATTGCTGGGAAATTTTATGCAATACAAAATTGCCGTCTGATGAAAAATGTGATACAGTAAGAATGCATTGGTTATTATTTTCTTCTTGCACTTCCTTCTTCATAACAGCTCACGTCTGAGAAGGTGTCAAAGAATTATTAGGCAGAATATGAAAGATAAAATGTTCAAATCAAATTTGACTCCTAGTGATTTAAATAAGTTGCAGGCAAGGACCTGTTCCTGTTCTTGGCACGTGCAGAAGTATATCTTCCCAATCAAATTCAGAGCATTGCATAGTCCAAATCAATACTGCTGCAATTTTCCTTATTTTTAAGTCAACATATAAGCATACTAATTTTAAACGTTTAGGAAGCACTCATTAGTTCATGTTCCATATAGAAACTATTGTTAAAAATACTGTGAATTTTTATAGATTATTTTTTTGTGATAAGGAAAAATAGAACAAACAGTGAGAGAATATAGGATTGTGACAAATGGAAGATATGTCTATAACTTGCTACATCTTATGTATGAAGTAGGAAATTAATATAAAAACTTGATCAAACATTATACAGATAATGTTTATGGATAGTATTAAAAGGCAGAAAATTACAGTCTGCCCATAAAATACAGTAACATGAATAATAGATTATTTGAAACAGTAATATATAGGATTAAAGCATCTAAAGTTCTGACAAAATATAAATGCTTGATAGTTAATCAAGTTTTCATTTTTCAATTTATCTTCAGTGATTCTGAAATCTAAATCAATCCCAATCCTAGATTGATTCATTAGGGAGAAATATTCATTTAGAAATATGGAAGCCCATAAATACTATACAGTTGTTATATTTCACAAACAGAAATACGCTGTGATATAAATCACACATATGTATGGATACACTGTAATTTAGTGATACTTAAAATTGAATGCAGCTTCTAAAGAGTGTTCACTGAAATTATTCTACAAACAGATGTTAGGTAAAAAGCCTAACAGTCCCAGCTTCTCAGATGGTATTCACAAAAACCTTTCACCTCCTTACATTACAATCCATGAAATCTTTGCCTTCGGTGTTGTGATTTTGTAATACTTTTATTAAATCTATATAGTAAGATACACCATTTTGCACCTTGGTGCTTTCTATTGGTTAACCGGAAACAGGAATTTTGTGCTAAAGAACTCAAAAACATTACTGTAAATTTAAATCCCATAAAGATGCATTCAAAAGAAAACAGTCTCTCCCTTGATAGTTATATGTTTGACTACAATTGTTCAACAGAAGGGAAATAAAAGCTAACAAGTGGTAAACTGTATCCGGTGTTCTCAACGAA